CTCAATCGCTCATGGTAATTATTAAAATTCATTAAAATTTTTTCCATTCCCTTACGTGGCATTATTGCAAAAACATCGTCTGCAAATCTATAATAAGTGGGAACACTAAAATCCAATGAGTCTAAGCATTGTGTCTCAAGATCATCCATCACCATATCCGCCAGGATAGGTGACAGCGGAGAACCCATAGGAGTGCCGAAGATCTGTTCATAAAAACGTCCGTTGAATGAAAAGCAAGTTGAGTCTAAAATCATTTCTATTGCAAATAAAAATTGAGATAAGTTAAATTTAGTGTTTTTTGCAATATCGTCCCAGCGCTTTTTTATGGCGTTTATAACTAAATCTTTGGGGACGTTTGTAAATAAAGAAGTTACATCCAGCGAGATCCTAACATTGTCATCGTTAATAACTGTGTTCTTAATATTATCAACGAATGACCAACTATCTTTGATGTAGGAATTCGGTTTCTTTATCGATTTATATAGAATGTTGTGGATGTAACTGGAGATATTATATACCGGGCTTCCCAGAGCAGATACAATAATTCTCCACGGAAAACATCCTTATGGATCTTCGGCAGACCATAACACCGCGGTAAATTGCCGTTAGTGCAATTTAAATGCCTATATGTCATCTCATTTATCAAGTTGTTATTGAGCCATGATTTGACTAACCCATTCATCTTACTGGTTTTTCAAAGGATCCTTTTTTAACTCTTTATATGTGGTTTGGTCACTCAACAGCACGTTCATCCTGTCAAGATAATCTTTTTTGTCCATAACTACGGTAGTCTGACCTTTGTCGGCTCTCGTGACCATAATGTCTTTATTGTTATCCCGTAAAAACTTCCTGGAGACCGCGTACGAGTTGAGGATATATCTGTCACAATAGGTGATATGTTTCTTGGTGGAAAGAAATCTATGAAGAATGTTTGCCACGGAAATCCTGGTTGTTTCAATGGAATCAGTGGGCAAAATATTGCTATTTACTTCGAAATTTTTAACCACGTCCAAAACGTAATTAGTGCGATCATTTTTATGTTCCTGTTCGATAGGTAATGCAAAATTGTCACCCAAGCTCAACAAGTCAGAAACCGTGTCAGGTATGTCTTTACTGCTGATGTTCACAAACCACTTACAAGTAAACCTCGGGGAACGTCAGACGCCGATTTTTTTCAAACTTTCCACAGTTGTTTCTTATGTCAAAGTATGAAGAAATTTGCCATCATTTTTAGCTCAATTTGAATTTTTCATTTTTTTTTTATTTTTTTAGTTTTACGCAAATACATGATTTTACACATATTTAAAACAATATTTCTTAAAGATGACTGTAGTGCGCATAGTGCTCTGCGCATTCTCTCCATTACAGTGAAGTTGCACACAAGTGCGTGTCGTTCGCGTCTTGAATCTGGCATACTAGCGACTCGTTTATAGAAACATTGACTCGCACGCAGCGATATATGTAATATATAACTAAACCACGTAGTAAGGTAAAGAAATACGAAATATATACAATACAAATTATATATATATATATATATATATATATATATACAAATTATATATATATATATATATATATATATATATACATACATATATAAAAAACTTGGATATTATTCTTTACAGAATGTGCTCCGTAAATCGATTCAATATTTTGCAAATTTTGAGTACAAAGTTATCAGACAAGCCAATATTAATTAGTGATCCAAACGAAAGAGAAGAATATATTGCTGAATGTTTATATAATATTATTATGCAATCTGAAGACTGTCCCGAAATTATTATTGAAACATTAGATTATGAGGATGATTTTGTAGCATTAGATCCTGATGAAATTTCATCCTTTATCAGATCTGATTGTGAAGCACGGAGTAGTTTCGAAGGAGAAATAGATTGGTCAGATGATTCATTGGAGCCTAAAAAACTAAAAGTATATATTGAATATAACAAAAAAGTTGAGGCAGTATCATATTGGAGATGTCACAAGAAAAAAAAATGTAGGCTATTTTCTCAAGTGCTTAATAAATATAAATATGTTCCTAATGAACGTGCTTTGTACAGATGGGAAAATCAAATAAAAGAATGTGGGTCACGAATAGACAAATTACGCGAAATTTATAATTTTGTATTAAACAAATTTGAAAGTCAAAGAGCGGCAAAAAGAATAATCCACGATTTTGATATTAAAAAATGGGCATTAAGTAAAGCCAGAGAAATTGAATTAACTCAATTTACAGCATCCGATACATGGATACTAGCTTTTAAAAAAGAAGCGAAAATTGTAAGTCGAAAAATTCTAAAATACGTTTCTCCAAAATTTTCACAAAGTGAGAATGATATTATTCGAATGGGTCCAGAATTTTTAAGTACTGTTGAAAAGTCAATATTAATTAATAATGTGTCTGATACTTTCATTTTTAATGCTGATCAAACTGGAATTCAAAAAGAAATTCATTCAGGAAGATCACTAACTTTTCAGGGTAAAAGAGATGTTGAAGCTATAGCGCAGTCTTTACACTCTATGACTCATTCTTATACTGTTATGCCGATCATCAATAAAAATGGTGATATTTTGAAACCAATCTTTATAGTTTTACAAGAACCTAATTGGCCATTAAGTGAAAAAGTTTTAAACAATTTGTATTCTCCTAAAGTTTTATATTACACTGCGACAAAATCTGGAAAAATGGGAAAATTGGAGCTCATTTCCTTTCTAAAAAATTGTTATTATTCTAATTTACCTCCTGATACTAAATCAATATTAGTGGTCGATTCATGGTCAACCTATAATAATAAAAATACTAATGTATCAGGCACTCCAATAGATAAAATTTCGACAATAATTCATCAAATCCCCCCAAAATGTACCGCGTTGTACCAACCTTTAGATGTATTTTTTTTCAGACCGTTTAAAAATTATTTGCGAAAACTTGAGGATACTATTATTGCAGACGATTTAAATTTTGATATATATACTCGTAATAGTATTCTTAAATTAAATGACTTTGTTTGGAATCAAATATCATCATCACGTTTCAGACCTTTAAGAATCTATGCATGGTATAAAGCTGGTTATGTAGAACAAAAACCATCGGCTGATTATAAATTTCAAACATTTTCACAATTTTGTCTAAATTTTGAGAAACAAATATGCGAAATTTTTAATTGTGATAATATTACATTTAATAGATGTAGTTATTGTAAGCTTCACATATGTGCTCATCATAGTATTATTCAAACTGTTCACATATGTGAAAATTATGTAGACTAATATATTTTATACAATTAATACGTTCACAAAAAAATGATTTTAAAAAATTAAAAATAAAAATAAGAAATAAAAGAATATTATAAAATATTATAAAATATGTAAAAAATAAAAAACAGTTAATTAGCAAGTGTATTCAATTTCTTTTTCTTCATTGAAGCTTTATTTTCGAAAAAGTTTTTTACAAGTTGAACCAAACTTTGCGCAAAAGATTTTTTTTTTATGTCCTTTCAAACGATATACTACAGTAAGAGCTGTTCCATTTGAAATTTTTGAGTTGATATTTTGATAAAAGAGCAACCCCCTTTAAAAGAGTAACCCCTCGAAATGGTGGAACACTTCTTTCGCAGATTTTTATAATTTTGAACCGTTTCCGAAATATATATAGAGAATGGTAACAGACTTTATGGACACTCTATATATTATATTAGTGTGGTACTTACGTAGTATTATACGTATGCCACGTTTCAAACAATCGGGTACATTCATCTTTAAGGGTGCGAACCCATGCAGCGGAATGGCGTAACGCGGAACGAGAGCGGAACCAATCACAAGCGTTCAGTGGTTTTCATCGTTTTTGTCGATTTTCCGCTGTTTTCAACATCCCCTACATCCCCATGGAGCGGAATGAAAATATCGCAGGCCAATCACGAGTTGTTATTTCAAAAAGAGTAAAAACACGTTGAAGTTCATTTGACAAATTTTAACATTTTGGTTAATCAATTTAATGAAAAATATATCTAATTCAATATTTATGCACATAATAATACAAACAAATGGCAAAAGCAATATTTATAACTCGTTTTAAGGACGTTCTGCTTTTTTCGGTTACGTTCATTCCGCTCCATGGGGATGTAGGAATTTGGAATCTGCGTAACAGAAGTGACGGAACCGTATATACATACATTAAAATTCGGTGCAGCGTGTGAAAACAAGGTAGTATAGAATAGAAATTAATAAATTATTGTTAAAGAATTAAAGATAATAGAAATGTATAATTATATAATTTTGTAACCGGGGCAATATATATTTTATAATAAAATATTAAATAGATATATACAAAAATCAGAAATAAATGTAGTAAAGTGTAGTAGACAATCTGCATTTCTTTATTTTATAAATTTTATAGGACGAAATTGCAAAATCCGGCTTTGTAGTGATCTGCAAAACTATACAAGAACTATATTTTTAAAAATTTATGAGAAAATATAACTTTTTTGAGAAAATGGAAATCAGACAGTGCACTTCCGTATATTCCATTTTCTGACTCGAAAAAGTAATATTTTTTCAGGTTTTTTTTCATATTATTCCTTGTATAGTTTCACAGGTCACTACAAAGTCAGATTTTGCAATTTTGTCCTACAACATTTATAAAAAGTAAAAATGTAGATTGTCTACTAGACTATTTCACTACACTCGCTTCTGACTTCTGTATACTCTTAAAATAAATATTGTAATTTTATGTTAATTTATATATGTTGACTAGGATCTATAGGTTACAATGAATTCTAAAACTGCATTATTCTGCATATATCAATATTGGAAGAAATCAAGATTACAAGTTGCAGTAGATCAAAAAGCGGTCCAAAGAAAGCTACTCAAGTTATATGTAATATATAAAAAAATAAAAGAACGTGAGAATATAAAAGAAAAACAAAAAAGAAAGTTTTGGGTGCGTCCTATTTTCAAGTCTGAAAGAAGATTTTTACAAGGTGCCAGTGATAATTTAATTGTAGAAATGTTAAACTCCAATGACCCAAAGTATTGTAATTTCTTGAGGTTGTCACCGATATTATTTGAAAAACTATTGGAGATTGTTGGACCAAAAATTCAGAAACAGTATGCAGTTCGAGAGCCAATTCCACCACGTACACGACTGGAACTTACTTTAAGGTATGATCTGTACATTTTATTTCTCAATTTAAGAACAATGTACACTTCTAAGTATCTCCAAAAGAGATCGGTGTACATTCATTGAAATATTTTCTTCTCCGCGTAGAGAAGAGTACTTTAAAAATTATTATTTCCCACGAACAACCGCGATGGCTCCAAAGCCGATTTCCTTGAGAATTGATTTACTTTAAGGTATTTAAGCAGTGGAGACAGCATGGCATCCGTGTCGTATGCGTTCTGTGTAGGAAATAATACCACATCAAAAATTATATCTGAAACGTGTCAATGTATTTGGGATGAATTACAAGAAAAAGTTTTTCTCAATCCAACAGCAGAAAATTGGCAGATGGTAGCTAAAGACTTTGAAGAACAATGGAACTATCCTAACTGTATTGGAGCACTTGACGGTAAACATGTTAAAGTTGAGGTAAATATACTATTTTTGTACATATTATAAAAATATATATTATATACGTATTATGTGTGTGTGTGTGTGTGTGTGTGTGTGTGTGTGTTTGTATGTAATGCAATTTTTGAATATGAATTTTATAGCGTTTTTCATTGGCAGAATTAGTGCGCACTGGTTGTCGTTCTATCTTTATTGTTCACTGGAATTAAAAAAAGTTAGAACGACACTCAGTGCGCACTAATTCTGCCAATGAAAAACGCTATTAATTAATTGGTTTGCAGGCCCCACCGAATAGTGGATCCACGTATTACAATTATAAAGGAGACCACAGTATAAATTTAATGGCGATTAGCGACGCTAAATATTCTTTCTTGCTGTTGGACATTGGTACTGAAGGTCGACAAAGCGATGGAGGTGTATTTCGAAAGAGTGAGATTGGTATCCGTTTTGAAAATGGAAATATGAATTTACCCAAACCAACTCAACTAGAAATGAATAAACCGGAACTTCCATATATATTAGTGGCAGATGAGGCTTTTGCCTTAACATCATATATAATGCGATCTTTTCCCCGAAATACACATCTTGATCTAAGAAAGAAGGTATTTAATTATCGCTTAAGTAGAGCGAGACGAGTAGTCGAAAGCGCTTTTGGATTGCTCGCAGCTCGTTGGAGAATTTATCGTAAACCAATAAATACCTCTTTAACAACAGCGATAAAAATTGTGCAAGCTACAACAGCTTTGCATAATTTTATAATCCAATTTGAAGCGTCACTACCTTTAGCAGAAAGAACTTACTGCAGAAATAACCAAGAAGAAAATACAAATTTGATTTATGCAGGTGCATTTACAGAAACAGAGTCACTCAGAGAAAACAGTCAATATGCACAAAGTCAATATGCTGTACAAGTGCGAGAGCATTATACCGATTTTTTTATGAACACTGGTGCAGTCGATTGGCAGTGGGATAAGGTGTTAAGCAATGATTTTTAAATATAAATGTTATTTTTTTCTATTCTTGAATTTGTACACATATTTTATAGTGAATAAAATAAAACTTTGTTAAACTTTATTAAACTTAATAAAATTATAAAACATCTGATATTTTATCGCTTATATACTATATTTTATAATGTAATATCACTTAATCACTTATTAGCAAATATATCGTAGCGTTAGGGTGGACACATTTCTGAATCTGAAATAAAAATATTATATATATCATAAAAATAGAATAAATGTAAATAAATAAATGTAAAACAATAAAAATGTACATATAAGTCCTATACATGCATACTTATTATGCTTATTATTACATACATATATACTATTATGTATGTGTAATTACCTAATCTGTTTTGAACTTCCATTACCCTGCTCAGAAACTCTATCTGCAATTTTGCTCTTTCATTGTAAGGAAGTCGGCGAAGCCCATCAGCTAAACTCAGTGCATAGTTAGAGGTTGGATCATTTTGTGCCGCTGGTTTGGCCATTAGTGTTGTTAAAAAAACTTCATCTAAACTGTTAAAATCTCTTTTTGATTTTTTTTCTAAAAAAAAAGAAACAAGTAATGTATACAATTATGATAAAAAGTTATAATAATAAAAATAAATATGTTTATCCAAGAAAAACGGAATTTTTTTGAAATATTTGATTTTAAATTCAAATTTTTTGTAAATTTAAAAATTAAAAATAAATATTTTTTTTCTTTTATAATTCATAATATGCGAATTCGTATCATTATGTAGATTTAGATTATTTTATCAAAAATTATTTAAAAAATTAAAATATAAAATAAACCAAATGTATATTTCATAAAATTATAAGAATTTGTGAAATATACATTTTATTTCTTTTATATTTTTATTTTTTAAATAAATTTTGATAAAGTCTAAGCTGGTATAAGTCTAAGCTGGATAAAATCTAAAACTGCATAATAATACGAATTTACGTTTGTGTATAAGAAAAACAAGTTGTAATAAACATTTAAAGCAAATTTTATATTATTAAACATAATATTAATAATTGTACATACTTTTCGATGAATAGGAATTAGAACTTAATGTAGCACATTCTTCTGCATTCTCAGATGATGATGCAGTGTTCCCATTCTCCGACATATTAAAAGTCGATGCTATTGATGATGCCCGTAGTGTCAATGCCTGTGATATTGATACAGATGGATTGTTTGAGACTGATGAATTTCTGGGCAGAGTGCTTACTGTTCTAATAAAATAAAAAAATAAAAGTCAAAAAATTAATTAACAATTTATTGTTAATAATATATGGTAAGAGCAGCTTCACTGCTATTTCAATGTTAGAAATTCTCAATAAATAAGAAATGAAAAAACTAAACTAAATAAAATGTTACAATAAAATCATTTTACGTGCAATAACCTAAAGAGAGTGATACATACTGTCTTGTTTCCATACAATCGTTTAAAAAGCTCATGGCCTCGTAAAAACGGAAAGTATTTTTCCGTGCTTTAGGAGCTGCTGATCCACTTGGTATGTACTCGTTGCTTTTCTTTCTATCCTTTGCATAACAGTCCTTTAAATATTTCCATCTCTTTTTGGCAGCGGTAACGTCCATGATGTCTGTCATATTAAAAATATTATAAGAGATAATACTTTTTTACATACAATATTATTTATATATAATACATGAGTCAGTTAAAGTAGTCAGTTAAAGATTTAAAATAATGATCTTAACATTATATTAAAACAGTTGATCTGTATATGTTAATTGTTTTAATTGTGTTATGTTAATTATGTGTAAAAAATAATAACATTGATCAATAAAAATTAAAAATAATAGTTATGCATACCTCCCATCATATTGCAAACTTCTTGCCACAAGGCATTTTTTTTCAAATTTGTTCGCTCAGAAACTGGTAATCGATGATCATATAAAGCAGGTTTCTGAGAAACACATGCTATCAACATTTCATCTGTATCTTGTGAATTAGAACAATTGACTTCAATACCAGGTCTATATCCTGAAAAATATACATATGTTGCAATAATACAGGCATTATTCTCTACTTATTGTTAGTAGTTGTAAATAGATCTGGCTATAATGCGAGAAGGATAAAAAAAGAGAAAAAATAAGAACAAGACATGAAAAAAAAAGAAAAAAGAAAATAATGTTCAAAATTTATTAAAAAAATAAAAATTAACTTACCTATAGTCACAATGTTATTTTCATCAATAATTATTGTGTTAATAGCTTCATCATAATCAGAAAAACATGGTGCATGTTGAAGTACATCCATGTTATTTGTTAAAATCCATCCACAATATCCACATTTCTTGCTCTGCACAGATTAATTGTAAATACATTTAGTACAGATTATTGCTTTAAAATAGAAAAAGATAGAAAAGTTGTAATGTAAAAATTGTAACACAAATCCAAATACGTACGTGCATACAAGAATAATTAAACTTAAATATTTTTTTACTAATTGTGATAATTACTTACTAATTGTGATAATTTCGTATTCGTACTCATGGTAAATATATTATTCTCTATCTTAATATATATTATATCACATGTATTGCACTGATTGCATTGATTGCACACTTTGAGGTTAAATGTACATACAGTTAGCACCGTTCCGCTAAAATCCATTCCGCTAAAAGACCCATATTAAGCTGGCCCCCCCACCAACGCCAAATAAAATCTTATCTATTAAATAATTTAGTGCTAATTATGTGCTAATTTGTTGCCGTAGTCCGGATTTTGTTGCTCAAACCGTTTAGCAGAAAATTACGTTTAAAGTGGGGGGGGCCAGCTTGACATTAAGCTAGCCCCCCCCATAATGAAAAAAATATATAAAATGCCCCAATTAAAAAATTAATTACACTAGAATTTGTTGCTATTTTGTTGCTTCAAAATCATGTAAAAACATTTTGTAAAAATTGTATTATTTAATTAAAACCAACATACCATAAGTATCGCTGAGCGATGCCACTCATTTGCACAAGAGAAAAGTAACTAAAAGAATTTGTTGCTCGCGTCTTTTTGGTATTAAAATAATTAATAGACAATATAATATCGAAATATATAAAAGATTGAATTTGTTGCTCGTTTTAAATTATTAAAAACCGATACTTTGTCGGCGCGAAACCTGTACGTCGCGCATTAATATAACATAAATTAACTAAAAGAATTTGTTACTCGCGTTTTTTTGGTATCAAAATAATCTGTAGACAATATACTATTGAAATGTATAAAAGACTGAATTTGTTTTATATATATATATATATATATATATATATATATATATATATAGAGAGAGAGAGAGAGAGGAGAGAGAGAGAGAGACTATGTGTGTGTGTGTGTGTCTACAGCTTATTTTAATACGAAAATTACGCGAGCAATAAATTCTTTAAGTTAACGAAAGGAATTTAGTGCTCCCACATTTTTGATATTAAAATAATTTATACACATATTATTGAAATATATGTCCAACAAGAAAGAAATTTTATGAAAAAAATAAAGTACTAGTTTTATACATGTTTCCAGTCAAAATAATATGTCGTTATTTCCAATCGTCAAATTAAGTACTCGTATCGTTTCATAAAAATTTGTTTTTACGTTAATTATTATAAATAAACGATATTTATTTTGGGAAAATAATTTCTTAAAAGAGTTTTTATTTTTTATGACATTTATTATTTAATACTTTCCATATATAATGTTATAAATATATATGTTCCAATAGGAAATATGCATATATAATAATATATATGCATTTTTTTTGTAATAAGAATGAAATAAAATATGAAATTTGACAATAAGAATATATAAAATGTAAAATACTATATAAAATATAAAATACTATATAATATAATATGAAAATATACTCAATATGTTTGTGTGTGTGTGTGTGTGTGTGTGTGTGTGTGTGTGTGTGTGTGTGTGTGTGTGTGTGTGTGTGTGTGTGTGTGTGTGTGTGTGTGTAAACAACGTTCTATTTTTATTATGTAATATAATTATTATGCAATATACAAAATGATATGTGGACAAGCAGTATAAGAATCACTTAAAGTTGTTTCTAATTCTTTACAATCGTCATATTTTATCCATTTATTTCGTCGATAACTAATGGCAGTGTAATGGCCAATACTTTCATATATATTATTCCTAGTTTGCTTCATGGGCGCTTTGAAGTTAACTATTCCAGCAAGAGTATATTCTTTCGCCATAAATGAAAATTTAATTTTTTTTGGTATATTTTGTATTGGAATAGCATATTCCTCTCCATCTTCAGGATTGGAATATATCTCCATTATAATAAATCGTCCTGAAAGTTACCATTTTATTAATTACTTTATATTATATATATATATATATATATATATATATATATATATATACATACATGTGGTAAATTTTTATGTTAAATCAAAATTAATCAATTTAATTTAATTTAATATCAAAATTAATCAATTTAATTTTAATATTTGTAATTGTTTGTTTATTAATTTTGAATAGATATTTTTTGTAAAGCATTTTTTAACAGAGAAATAAAAATATTACTGTAATTTAAAATAAATAAATAAATATATATATATATATATATATATATATATATATATATGTGTGTATGTATGTATGCATGTATGTATGTATGTATGTACACTCTCTCTCTAGCAAAATAAAATTTGTTTTTTAATTTTTCTCATTATGAATACTAATTTTGGATGTAGTTACATATATACACAGTTTACTTTAATATTTAAATATACTAATCATTTATTGAGAAACACACAATAAATTGTAAATTAAAAAAATTTTATATGTACATAAAAATATTAGATAATTTTAAGTTATTTCATATATTTTCAACACAATTTAATAAGTTAATAAATATTACCTATATTGGAAATTGTGGTGTTCTCCAATCCATCACAACCTGATTGACAACAGGATCGCAATCCTTGAATTGTGATATCTTTTTCAATTTCATGAACATTGTTCTCTAATA